AAAAAAAAAAAAAAAAAGAAAGAAAGAAATTATAAAGTATTAAATGCATAAAAATATTCTCATGGCATTATTTATAATGGTAAAAAAAAACTAGAAACAACCTTAAGATTCACTGAAAGAAGAAATAACAAATAATGGTACCTCATTTATGTGCTAAATAATAAATAATGCATCGTGTCAATGGAATATGATGTTCAGCTAAATCCTAAACCTGTGGTAACATGAAAAGCATTTGTTAACACTAAATCTGCTATTATCAGGCAAAACAAGAGATCTCGTTTCACTTCCCCACCTTCCTGAATGCACCCAAATCCTCACCCCACGAGATTCTGCTACCTTCCCCAGCTGCAAATCACAAAGATGTTACCAAGGGGAGAGGAATTTTCAGGAAGATGGTATAAAGAGAAAGAAAGGATTGAGAAGCATGGTGTTCGGCGACAGGAGTAGAACAGCATCGTACCTGTATTATGATCACAACTGCAGAAAAAGCAGATTAGAATATGGCCAGCAAAAGGTAGAAAATTCAAAAACCAAAGGAGGAGAGGACACTTCATGATAGTAGGAATCAGACGATATTTTTAGACACTGCTTTATTACCAATGTTATTTGAGCAGTAAATAAAAACTCTAGACAAAATATTCCACTAATGAGGACATTTTGAAATCAGATTTCTCAAGTCTTAGTCTTCTCACATTATATACTTACAAATATAAAAGATAAATCATTTAGTATACCAGTTACCACCTAAGTCACTCAGAAATGTTGACCCAGGAAGTAGGCGATGCTCTCCTCTGCCAAAACTGTTACTCATCCTTACTCATTCTCATGTCAGAACCTTCCTTTCCTCTCTACTGCATCTTGAGACTCGTCTCTGTTAAAACTTGGGATTTTAATTTTCTACTTAGAAGCTACCATTAATTACATCTTTAAGGTGAAGAATCATCAAATCCCAAGAGCCACAAAGACTGACAACACCTTCCTCATCAAATAACAAGAAACCAAGAAATTTTACCTCATCCATAAAATGGCCTCAAAGAGATCAAATAATATTTTGTTAAACCCACATGAGATCCCAGAATTGATCAACCAAGTTATTTTTGGTTTTATTTTTCCAAAATAGAATTCCTATAAACCACTCAAAGCAATCAGGACTCATAACAAACAAAAAAACTAAGTAAATGAAAAATCTGTTCATAGATGCAGAACTCATCTAAACCAAGTTACCAGGTAAAATATATTTGGAAGATGGGAATGGAAGGACAGGCGTAAAAGATTTACCTTAAGGGCTTATTGTGAAAAAATAACCAATTATAATGCTTCTTTTTAAATTCTTTAAAGTTTACAAGGCTGGGCGCGGCAGCTCACACCTGTAATCCCAGCACTTTGGGAGGCCAAGGCGGGTGGATCACCTGAGGTCAGGAGTTCGAGACCAGCATGACCAACATGGTGAAACCCTGTCTCTACTAAAAAATAAGAAAATTAGCCAGCGGTGGTGGCATGCGCCTGTAATCCCAGCTACTCGGGGAGGCTAAGATAGGAGAATTGCTTGAACCCAGGAGGCAGAGGTTGCAGTGAGCCCCCCTGCACTCCAGCCTGGGAAAGAGAGCAAGACTCTTATCTCAAAAAAATAAAATAAAGTGTACAAATACTTAAAATACAGGAAATATATCCATAAGGCACCAAATATGTTTCCCAATCACTTATTTCTTTTTTTTTCTTTTTTCAGAAGGTGTGTCACTCTGTCACCAGCCTGGAGTACAGTGGCATGATCTCGGCTCACTGCAACCTCCGCCTCCTGGGTTCAAGCGATTCTCCTGCCTCAGCCTCCCAAGCAGCTGGGATTGCAGGCATGGGCCACCACACCAGCTAATTTTTGTATTTTTAGTAGAGATGGGTTTTACTATGTTGACCAGGACGGTCTCAATCTCTAGACCTCATGATCTGCCCGCCTCAGCCTCCCAAAGTGTTGGGATTACAGGCGTGAGCCACCGCACCCAGCTTACTTAATAAAATGAACATTTCCCTTAAAGTAAGAATCCATAAATATTTGCTGAATAAATAAAATCCAGATTCACCAGAACCTACCTGGACCACATGTCTGATGGAACCAATCACCACCGGCTTATCAGACTCTGCTTCCCCGTGTCTTTCCAAAACGTCTTCTATACCCCAGAGACCAGAGAGTTCCAGTTCTCCTTCTTCTAAGGGGATGGAGTGCCCTTCAAAATTTGGTTGCTCATACAAAATCCAACTAACAATAAAACAAAGCAAAACCATTAGTGAGTCTTGGTAAGAGAAGTTTTGATTACTCAAATATTCTGGCTAATTGCCTCTATATACATAGTGGAACTTTTATACATATATATACATATATATAAATATGTAAATATATATACATATAATTATGTCTAGTAAGATATTAGTATTAGGAAGAATTTAAGCTACTTTAATTGCTAGATAATTGACCACTAATATACTGGATATATATATAGATAGATAGATACAGAGCCACCACATATATATATAAAAATATGTATATATATATTTACATATTTTATATAAATATGTATATATTTATATATTTTTACATATTTAATATATATGTATATATTATATGTATTATATATAATTTACATATTTAAAACAATATATACATATTTAATATGTACAAATATGTATATATTTATACATATTAAATACATATAAATATTAACATGTATATTTATACATATTAAATATATAAATATATACATATTTTTATATATTTACATATTTATATATATATGCTGGCTGTATATCTATCTATCTATCTATCTATCTATCTATATATATATACCCAGTATATTAGTGGTGAATTATCTAGCAATCAAAATAGCTTAAATTCTTCCTAATACTAATATTTTACTAGACACAAGCCTCTGATAACTCATGAACCATATCAGTATCTTAGAGAACTTTGGAGTTGTTGATATCAATGCTACAGAGCTACTAGTGTTCCAAGGAATTGCCAAGTGGTGGAGGCTTATAAATAATAATATGTCAGATAAATGGATGTTTACTGTAGTGTTTTTTTGTCTCTTTTTTTGATGCAGAGTCTCACTCTGTTGCCCAGGCTAGAGTGCAGTGATGCAATCTCAGCTCACTGCAACCTCCGCCTCCCAGGTTCAAGCAATTCTCCTGCCCCAGCTGCCCTAGTAACTGGGATTACAGGCATGCACCACCATGCCTGGTATTTTTATTTTTATATTTAAAAAAAAAAATTTTTGTATTTTTAGTAGAGCTGGGGTTTACTCATGTTGGCCACATTGGTCTCAGCCTCAAGTGATCTGCCCACCTTGGCCTTCCAACGTGCTGGAATTACAGGCATGAGCCACCATGTCCAGCTTTTTAACTCCTTACATATAGAAAACATTTCTCTTAGAGAGATTTTAACTTACATATTACAGTCATATCAATGAATATGTTGATACAAAAGACTATAAATACGTTAATGGAAAGCATTGTAACAACAGTCGTCCCAACAGCAGCCAAACACTAAAGAAAAATATATGGCAGTGTAAATGCTTATGCTTTCAAAAAAAAGAAGCCAACGAAAGTTGCAAAAGAAAGGAAAAAGCACTGTTCTATAAAAACAAAACTTGTGTAAAAAATTGCCACTAATATATTAGTGGCCAATTCTCTAGAAATGAAAATAGCATTTGTCTTCAAATTTAAGAATAAAAGCAAATCTTGTTTTTCTCTTGACTATGCTAGATATATAGGAAAATATATTAAAAAAACCTAAAAATCTAATAGGAAAGATGCTGCATATTTAATCAAATGGAAACCAAAAGAAAAGCTTACAAATTTTTAAATCCAGAGGTCTACCTTATTTATTTCAAACAAGTTTACAAATAAGCACCAAAAGATAAGCATTATGCCAGATGAGCTATTTCTTTTTTAAGCTGCCTTTCTTTACTCAGTTTCCTGTGTATCTCCAGGAGGAAATGAAGCTGATAAAATTATTTCAGAAACTATCAAAATATTTATTTATTTACTTATTTTTACCAGTTTCTTTACTTAAAATGATCTTTTGTGGAAATACCGGAAAGTAAATTAAATTTTAAGTTAGTGCTGCAATGAACTGTCATTAAAAAGTTAGAAAAATACCTGTCCTTATAGATTTTGTTTTTCCTTATAAATTTTTTTTTCCTTATTCTTTTTTTACTTTGCCTTTTCCTACACCTTCTGAAGTTTCCTTACAGATTTTTTAAAAGTTATATCTGGCCTATCCACATGACTAGGGCAATTCTTATCAACCTCATTTAAAGGACATTAACCAAAAGTATGCTATGGGCCCTGATATATGATTAGTAGAAAGCGATATTATGGGGAAACATGGGAAAAAGAAACTTGTTCTACTGTACTGTTCTGATTTTTCTCCCATAAACACATATCACTGCTATAATCAGAAACATGATTTAAAATGACATTGTTAAGATATGAATCCCTACCTTACCACGAGTAGTATTTCCTGTGCTTTCCATTGCTAAAACCATAATTTTAAACTAGGAGAAGACTAAAAAGGTAATTAAGCATGTAAAACACAAACACTTTACATCAGGAAATTAAAGCGCCATTCTTACCATCCTCTAACAACTCTTACGAGTATCAAAGGAGAGAGGCTCCAAGAACTGCAATCCTGAATGTCACTGAAAACTTCAATGCACTTCTCAGAGACATCGGGCTCACTATATATCACCACCTGCAAGAAAACGAAAGTGGTAGCACGCTTTGTTGTACTCTATCAGACCAAAATAAAATCAAGACTAGAAACAGAAAATAATCCTACCTTTCCAGGTCGGGGATTGAGTTTATTTTGGACACTTCCTCTAAGTGCCTGTAATCAGATGAACAAAAACACAACAAATAATTACAACTTCACATTAACAATCCTCTTTTTCCACCCATGATCCTCAAGGTAGATCATGCTTATCTCACGTTGTATCGATTTTGAAACGCCCACTCTAATCGATGCTAAAGTTGTATTAAAACTCTAAGTTTATGCTTTTAAATTAAGATTTTTTTTTAACCTCTAACTGAATTTGCCATTTCAATTTCTCCTCATTTAAATGTCTAGGCTATTTCCACCTATGCTAGAAAATTTAGGGCACATATGTGTTATGTGAGTTCACAGAATAAGAATTCAGCTAAGAGATTATAATTCAAATAATATGAATATCATCTCAAATAAATAAACATGAATTAGAATATATTAATCACTTACCTAGAAAGAGCTGAACCAATTTTGTGTTCATATACATACCCTATCTGAATCTATATAAATATTGTTTTCTCATAGTAAATCGACTGTCATATAACAACCACTAGTCTAAATAGAAGTGTTTATGGTATATGTGGTATATTTTACAATGTACTTTGCACATGGTAGATGTAGTCCCCCTTTTTTGATAGACAAAATACATTTTAATATGGCTCCAAAACTAATCATTTTCAAGATCATCTGACAAGACCAGTAAAATCAGATAAGTTATAAATATAATAAAATAGTAATAATACATGTAAAAATGTTACAAAACATGAACTACTTTCAATGCTGACCAGAACACCTATTTTAGGAACTGCCTTTGCTCCGACTGCTCTTGCATCACACCAGAGTGTGATACGCTCAAAAGACCACAAAGGGCCAGGGTGTGGTGGCTCACGCCTGTAATCCCAGCACTTTGGGAGGTGGAGGTGGGCAGATCACCAGAGGTCAGGAGTTTGAGACCATCCTGGCCAACATGGCGAAACCCCATCTCTACTAAAAATACAAAAATTAGCCAGGTGTGGTAGCACTTGCTTGTAATCCCAGCTACTTGGGAGGCTGAGGCATGAGCATCGCTTGAACCTGGAAGCCGAGAGTTTGCAGTGAGCTGAGATCATGCCATTGTACTCCAGCTTAGGCGACAGAGCCAGATTCTGTCTCTTAAAAAAAAAAAGTCCATAAGGGCCCCCCTAGAGAATTATCAGAAGCCAAATGGCATATACCTATTTATGTATATGTACAAATTACAAGTAGATAAACTGAAGAAAAAGCCTAAAATTTAAACAAAATTCAAGTAAAACCTTCATGATTGAATAGTCACACTATCAATAAAAGCCCAGGACTTTAAAAAAGACCATTTTTTAAAAAAATCATAAAAAGGCCTAGAAAAAGCATAAAGATTTTGTTTTTCCTTTTTATGCCATTTGCTTTGATTTTCATAGGGAAACTATATATTCTGTTATCAGCTTTGTCACACTGTAGTTAAATAAGGAAAGTGATCTAAGAATAATTAAAAAGAATAAAGCTGTAATGAATGGGAAGTGGACCAGTGGAAATTTTGTGCTTGAGAGAAATAGTTAAGAATTTTATGATTTCTGAGTACCACAGGCTGATTCAATCTTACTTGTTTATAGCAGTGGTTCTCATAGTGTGGTTCAGAGGCCACTGGGTGTTCCCCAAGATCCTTGCAGGTAGTCCATGAGGTCAAAACTATTTTCATAATAATAAGAGGTCACCTGCCTTTTTCATCTTTTTCTCAAATGTCCAGTGGAGTACAGGGCTCCATGATGTGTGATGACGTCGTTGCTCTGAGCACTGGTGCAATGTGCACTTGTATGTTCTGGTGTTTTACAATTTTCTCAGCAATTATTTCTAATATAATAAGCTCTGATAGGCATAACCCATACAAACAAAAGCTCGTTGGGGTTCTCAATCACTTCTAAATGTAAAGGGTCCTAAGACCAAAACATTTGAAACCCAAACTTTATGAAAGTTTATGAAATCTCATGAAAAAAGGATCTGCACCTCTGCTGGAAACCCAACCATAGATTTTGAAAGAGCTTGCAACATTACGTTCTCTGACAGGACTGTAGCAAAAGCCAGCACAATACATTGAACCATGCTGCAGTACCCAGTACAGATGAGGAGAGGTGCAAGTTATTTTCTGCCTGGATAAACTGTGCCGGACTGCAGTCCACACCTGCCACACAGCTGGGTTCCCAGGACGGACCACCAGAATACAAGCTCCATTCAGGCTTCTAGGCTGGCAGAGCTGATCACTAAATACATATTCTACCTTCCTCTCTCATAGTCCTCCTTCACCTTAAATAAGCTTTGTAACAAAAAGGCAAAAATTCACATCAAAAGCTGAGTAAAGAAAACATCTTCTGAAGTGAGATAGCAGAAGATGCAGAAATCAAAATTATTCCCCAAAATCATACTTTGCTGTCCTCACTCTAATATTTAGGAAGAGATTCAATGAAAATCAAAATTCTTTACTCCTCACAGCTTTGCAGGGGAAAAAAATATATCCCTAAAGAAAACTAATTCCCAATAAAGAGAAAATACTTTCTCAATTGCACAGGATAAACACCTACTGCTACTTATAGAAACAAAGGGTGAATGTCACAGAGAGAAGGAATTAAGAAAAAAGTTTCTGGCCAGGTGTGGTAGCTCACGCCTATAATCCCAGCACTTTGGGAGGGCAAAGTGGGCAGATCACGAGATCAGGAGTTAGAGACCAGCCTGGCCAATATGGTGAAACCCAGTCTCTACTAACAGTACAAAAATTAGCCGGGTGTGGTGGTAGATGCCTGTAGTCCCAGCTACTTGGGAGGCTGAGGCAGGAGAACTGCTTCAACCTGGGAGGTGGAGGTTGCAGTGAGCCGAGATCACATCACTGCACTTCAGCCTGGGTGACAGAACAAGACTCGGTCTCAAAAAATAAATAAATAATAAAAATAAAATAGAAAAAGAAAAAGTTTCCTTGGCTGGGGACTTCCCAAATAGAGGAAGCTGCTTCACAAATCTTCAAAATTCTAAGTATAGCAATGAGCATTTTTACATAGAATAGGTATGAAAAAGCATCTTGTCTGTCTCTGAGCTTCAAAAGCTTACCTATACATTTCATAATACAACATATAAATTCACATGTGCCCTAAAAGATCATGTGCCTTAAGACCTTTGTAGCTTTATCTCCCTGCAAGACTACAGATGCCTTCAGTGAAGACTCTTGGTACATTTTTTTCTTGGACTCTAACAGTCCCTTGTACATTGCAGGTTTCTAAATACATGATGAATAAAAACTATAGCACAAAAGCTTAACCATTTCTAAAAGAATAACGTGAGTTGCTCATCAACCCTTTCTTCTCTTGCTTTATAAATGCCCCAAATAAATAATAATACATTGCTACTTACCATTGTGTCTGATAATGACATTCCAGAAAAAGAAATGCTTGGATCATACCGGCTTGATTTGAAAAGACCCATGAAGTCGTTGTCATTGTTTCCACAGTTTGGCAAGTTTGATTTAAGAACACTTTCAATATGATTAGCCTTTTCCATATCATCGTTCTTCAGTTTTGAAAATTCAGAAAATTTAGTTTCTGGCGAGTGTAGGTTGCTTCGTGAATCCAGATCTTCTTTGGTTTTCTCTTTTTGCGGGTATTTTTCCATGTGGCTTGGACTTTTCAAACTGGAGTGTGATGTATTTGACGAGTTGAAATTGAAGACCTTTAAGGAGCTGGCGGGTGGAAGATTTGGCTGTTCTTTGTTCAAACCACAGGGCGGGGCACCCTCAGTCGTGGGCTGTGACACTGAAGGCTGAGATAGGGAACCGCTCTGAGAAGTACTGAAAGCCGTGGTCATAGTGTTGACTGATGTCACAGAGGGAGAAAAGATTTTGTCTTGCGGTAAAGAAGATAACAAGCTCGAGAAAAGTGCACTTTTTTCTAGTCTAGATCTCTTAACGCCACCATTTGTGATGTCCCTGTTCTCTTTGTCGTTGATTTCCGGCATCACCCGAGGCTCACTGTTCCCATTAGTGTTCGTGTGCAAGGACTTGAAGAGGACGCTCTGTTCAGTGGATACACGTTTGGGTCTCAGTTTGGATTTTGTGTCAAACTGCATCAAATGTAAAGCCGGTGACATTTCTGGCTGGCTTTCCTTCTTCTTCCCCAAACCAAAGGTAAACACATTGGGATCAAACACCTTTTCTAAGTGGTCTTCATGAATAGGAGGCATGGCAAAGTGAGGAGCAGGAGAGTTTGGCATCCTGGCCTTCTTTCTTTTCATGGGCATACAAACTGTACTATCCATCTGTTTTATAATTTCAGTGAATTTTTCCATATCAGAAGAAGAATCAAATACACTATCATCACTACCAGCAGAGATGTTCAAAAGACTGGCAGGGCTATCCTGGCCGTTTGCAATAGTCTGATCTGGCCTTTGAGGAGTGTCTAAGGGATTTCCACTGCTGGGAGAGTTGGTGGGACTGGATTCAGCCATCAGGGGTGTTCTGCTGCCCTGACTTTGAGCCTGAATAGGCAGAGTTTTCTCTGATGCTGGCGGCATGACTTGTGGGCCAGATTTTGCTGCGAGCTCTTCTGTGCAATGAGACTGTTCTGGTGACATGCTCTTACTGCCCAGTACTTCCTCTTGTGGGGGAGCACAACTTGCAACGGAAACCACTTCAGGTTCATTACTGTGACAAGTTGGCAACTGCACTTCTCTAACTTCAGAGCTCTCTGGGATGACCTGGGAGCTCATATCCTGTGTGCTCTCCATGGGGAGCACAAAGGACCTGACCTGGACAAGGACTCTGGATGGACACTCACTTCCCACAACTTCTGGACTGTGCTCTGTGGACAAAGGAGGGTTTGTTTCTCCTTCAAGTTCAGAAAGTGGCATTTTCTCATTGTTCTGATGAGACACAGGCAAAACACATCCTTTATGGTTTTCTGACACTTTTAGATCAGTGCACGGGAAACTGCTTATGGGCGACTCAACACATGTGTCTTTGGGAACATCCACAGTGGGTGCAGACAGTGAAAAAGAAGGCCCAGGAGATGACTCAGCAGTGGGCTGTGAGTCAGAAAATGTATCCTGTGGCTTTGGCGTGGCCGTTGGGGGTAAATCTTTGGTATCAGCAATGGTGGAGATGTCTTGTGCTGCACTGGTTACACGTTCAAGTACAGGTCTTTTGCTGTCTGCAGCCTCTGAATCCTCCTTCTCGATGAGCTTATGGTCCTTGACAGGAATCAGAGCAGCAGCCACTGGTTCTGAAGGGCAGCCAGCATCTGTTTGTCCATCTGCTTTATCATCTTGCTTAGGCTGAGGACCAAGAGACTGATACTCAGAAGGGTCTCCATTCATTCGTCTGGTTGCTGGCAGAATCTCTTCTTCGGAGGGAGTAACTTTGGTTTCTGCAGGGGTTTCCTTCACCAGCACACCATTCTGGGGACTGTTTGGCATTACTTTCTTTTCAGGTTGCTCCATTTCTTTGGCTTTTTTGGCTAAATTCAGCTTCGCTCTCCCAACAAATGTTTTATTAGAGGCAGGAGTGTTCCTTGTGCCTCGAATATCAGTGTGTCTTGGGCTACTATTCACCCGTTTGTTTTCAAATAAGGAGATTTTGGTGGCAGTGTTGCCTTTGTGAACTGGCTGGCTAAATGGATTGTGCTCATTTCCCAGACTGTCAAGATTCTTAGGGGTTTTAAGATTTAGTTCCACATGTTTGGGCTTGGCAGGGCTGTGAGGAAAAAGCAGGAAGACAACGTTACTGACCTAGTTTTTAAATGTGGACACACAAACCAATTAATTATAAAACTATGAAAAGCCAACATCTCCCTGATATATAACATTTGGGTGTGTGTGTTTAAGACAGGGTCTTGCTCTGTTGCCGAGGCTGGAGTGCAGCAGTGTGATCATAAATTGCTGCAGCCTTGAACTCCTGGGTTCCGGCAGTCCCCCTGCTTCAGCCTCCCAGATAGCTGGGACTGTAGGCACATACCACATATCCAACTAATTTTTTTATTTTTATTTTTTTGTAGAAATGGGGTCTGTGTTGCCCAGGCTAGTCTCAAATTCCTGGATTCAAACAGTCCTCCCATCTTGGTCTCCCCAGGTGCTGGGATTACAGGCATGAGCCATCATTCCCTGTCACATTTGTTTTTTTAATGAAATTATTTTGAAATAGTCCTAAGTATACTATCAACTATTTTTAGTGGGTGATTTGCTTGCATATGAGGGATCAGGAGTTTATATAGCCAAGAAACTCTAGGGATGAGGGGTAAACTACTTTATTGAGTACCTAGCATGTATGCACAGTACTTGGCACTGGAACTGGAAGGCATCCAAAGGGCTGAAGAACATTAGAAGAAATTTAAATAATTAATGCATTCCCATACTTTAAATATGGTAAATGATCTCCCCAACATCAATTATGTATTTTTATTTCAGCATAACTTTTTTTTATGTTATCTCAAAAAGATAGATTATTTTAAAAATTCATCTATTGTTGACCTCTTTGGATATTTTATTCCTCATATCCTTCCCCCATAAGATTTTCTCTGATTATAAGTGTGTTTGCTATAGCAATTTTGGATACTATTTAAAAATCACTGATAATCTTATCAGAGAATATCCCTGTGAACATTTTTATACATTTCTAATCTTTTATAGGCATAATTGAGTATGTTGAATTAGAATCAGATTATTCTGTTCATATAATTTGATATCTCGATTTTTTCAAGAAATAAAATGACTTAACCTTATAGTTAACATTTTTCAGATTACCAAAAAATTTGCTGGAAAAGTTGTCTTAATGCTGCATGGAAGTCCATCATATGGATGTACCATAGTTTACTTATCAATTACGCAATTGTTGGTTTTGTCACCACTCCTTGGGCAGCAGAGTCTCCCCTCTCTCTGTCACATTTCTTGGGTATAATTAACCCAAGTGGAAATAATAAGTCTTTGAATGTACACAGTGCTTTCTTTCAGAGAAACAAAATGTGCTCTGTTTGGCATTCTCTGGCTCTGGTCCTGAGTTTTATGCTAATTATCTGTGTGAACTTGGTCAAGTTACTTAACCTCTCTGGACTCTACCTTCTCCATCTGTAAAAAAATGAGACGGTTTAGAACAGTGTTGTTTTTATTTCCCCTAACTTATCGTTGAAGGAATCCCTGGGGTTTTCTTCAAGGGCTGCAGTTGGGGAAAGTAGGGACAGGGATGGGGCTGTACACTCTTTGAACAGAATCATTCCCAGTATCTGTTTTATTTATTGCTTCTATTTAAACTTTCTTAGAAGAAATATATATATATATATATATATATATATATATACATATATGTGTATATATATATATATATATATTTCCCAGCACTTTGGGAGGCCAAGGAGGGAGGATCGCTTGAGCCCAGGGGTTCAAGACCAGCCTAAGCAACACACTGAGACCCAGTCTCTCCAAAAAAAAAAAAAAAATTAGCAGGTGAAGTGGTGCATGCCTGTAGTCCCAGCTACTCCAAAGGTGGAGGTAGAAGGATCACTTGAGTCCAGAAGGTCAAGGCTGCAGTGAGCTATGGTTGTGCCACTGCGCTCCAGCTTGGCTGACAAAGTGAGATTCTTGTCTCCAAAACAAAAACAAAACCCTCTAGACCATTGGTCTAATGGTTTATAAAGTGGGAGAGATAAAGCATAACCACAAACAGTCACTGACTGTCAAGCACTTGAGAAGTGCTTCACAGGGCTTACCTAATTAATGTACAACTTTATACATTCTATTTTTGGCTGAGGAAGATGAGGCGTAGAGAAGTAACTTGCCTGAGGTCATGCAGCTAATAAGTGACAAGGTCACAATTTGAAGACAGGTGCTCTGGTTTCAGACGCCATGCTCCCAACCACTATAGTATTCTGCTTCCCCAAATAGGCCCAGACAATGCCCGCCTGACTGAGCTCCTCTGGTTCTTTCCATCTTTATCATTTAAGAGTCAGTGAATTATCATGAGATCTATAACATAAAGTAATTAGACTTTAGAGGCCACTTTGATAATGAAAACACCCAAGTAGAGACATTGAAATCCCATGCTCCCTTTCCTTCATGGACTTGGCCTTCAAGAAGGTTGGGCCTGGCTGGGTGCAATGGCTCATCGTTATAATTCCTGCACTTTGGGAGGCTGAGGTGGGTGGATCACAAGGTCAGGAGTTCAAGACCGGCCTGACCAACATGGTGAAACCCCTTCTGTACTAAAAATACAAAAGTTAGCCAGGCTCGGTAGCACATGCCCGTAATCCTAGCTGCTTGGGAGACTGAGGCAGGAGAGTTGCTTGAACCCGGGAGGTGGAGGTTGCAGTGAGCCAAGATTGTGCCACTACACTCCAGCCTGGGCAACAGAGTGAGACACTGTCCCCCCTCAAAAAAAAAAAAAAAAAAGAAGAAGCTTAGGCCTAAGAAGCTTCTAGAAGGGACAGGCAGTATGACTGCAGGCAAGTCACCTTATCCTTCTGGATAACACAAAATGGGCTGGATGTCATCAAGTCTTCTCCAAAAGCAGCACTAATCATTTAGATTTTAATATTTACAAATTTTATTTATACTAAATTTGAGGCTGGGGGCAGTGGCTCATGCCTGTAATCCTAGCACTTTGGGAGGCCAATGCAGGTGGATCGCTTGAACCCAGGAGTTTGAGACCAGCCTGGGGAACATGGCAAAATTCTGTCTCTACAAAAAATTCAAAAATTAGCCAGACATGGTGGTGCACCTATAGTTCTAGCTGCTAGGGAGTCTGAGATAGGAGGATCATCTGAACCCGGGGAGGTCAAGGCTGCAGTGAGCCAAGATCATGCCACTGCACTCTGGCCTGGGTAACAGAGTTGAGACCCTGTCTCAAAAAAATAATAACAATAAATTTGATCTCTGCTCATAAATTTCTCCCAGGCATTGCTTACCCCAATATCTCCATAAGATACTTAGGCTTCCTTATTACAGGCCCATACCTTACATCTAAAAGGAAAATTAATTTATAAGCATGTCCTTAAAGACCAAATTATGAAACCAGTGAGATGATTAGAAATAGAGAGCTTAGCCGGGCGCGGTGGCTCATGCCTGTAATCCCAGCACTTTGGGAGGCCGAGGCGGGTGGATCACGAGGTCAAGAGATCGAGACCATCCTGGTCAACATGGTGAAACCCCATCTCTACTTA